ACTCTTCAAGGCAGCAAGGGTTGCACACACTTCCTGTGGCACAAACACTGCTCCTTTTCCTTCTCCAGGCACCTGTGCCCTCTGTCCCTCGCAGCAAGCCAAGCGGCTAAAACTGGGGTACCTGGGTCAGGGCTTTGTAGTCTGCTCACCACCGCTCTCTCCACAACCTGGTAGAGCACCCCATCCTTTGTCCTGGGTGAACTGCGATCACCCCCCAGGTTCCTGTCCACCCCATCCTTTGTCCTGGGTGAACTGCGATCACCCCCCAGGTTCCTGTCCACCCCATCCTTTGTCCTGGGTGAACTGCGATCACCCCCAGGTTCCTGTCCACCCCATCCTTTGTCCTGGGTGAACTGCGATCACCCCCAGGTTCCTGTCCCAGGGTCATTAACTGGAGGCCTTGCTTTCACCCCAACTCTGCTGCCCCAGCATCGTTCTCTAGCAGGGTGCTCACTGCCCAGGTGAGCAAGTCAGGGCCATGGGAGCTGGCAGAGGAAGACAGCACATCCGGGTACAGCTGTAGCCTGCCCTCAGTGCTCAGTGCTGTGTTCCTAGAGCTAGGCCAGGGCCTCTGTGGCCCTCCCTCGCCCATCCCTAGTTTGGGTTTTTGCTACTTGCTTTGCTTTGTAGTGTTTAATCTGCATCTTGATGTAAAGGTGATGGTTTGTGTCAGAACAAATCGCACTTTGGCACAGATAGCACCATCCACCCTGCTGAAACCTGTCATGACCCCAGCAGTTAGAAAGTAACTAACTTTAACAGGAGGTGTCCCCTGACCAACCCTTTGCATCCTTGTGGTCTCTGTCTCACTGGGCATCTGCATGACATTAGGCTGGTATAAAGGTAGTGGCCTTGGTCACTTTACCTTCTTGGGGAAAGCTGAATTACAGCAGGGTAGCTGGTCTTTCTTTGTACTCCAGCCTTAGCTTAGGCTTAAGCTTGGCCTTAGTTTAGGCTCGTTCCCAGCTAACTCTTACAACTTAAACCAACCCGTTTATATAAGCCAGCATTCTGACTTGTTACCCCTCCTCCATACTGCATGTTCAGCTTCCTCTGCGTCTCGCTGACAAATCCTGTGCACATCTGCTTCCTCCCAAAGTTCCTATCTTTCTCTGGAAACCCCACTTATCCTCTCCTGCCCACCTATTGGCCATTTGGCTCTTTATTAATTAAACCAATCAGAAGGTGCCTTGGGCAGGTGAGGTAAAACAGAGACATCTTCACATTGTTCAAAAAGATTATCCCACAATGCAGCAGGAAGGCTAATTAACTTTCCCAAGGTTACAGAGCTACTCGGGGAGTAGATCATATGGTTAGCCTTGTGGCTGTAGCACTGAGTCATACGTCAGTTTCTGTCTGATGCTTCCCTGTCCCATCATTCCAGTTCACTCTGATATCTAGCCCAGAGAGGCCCATCTTCCTGCCCAGTGACCCAGCAGAACACTGGCTCCTTGCCCAAGACCTAGGTGCATCACTCAGAATTGCTGTTGCCTGAGATGGTCACTTATGTGTTCTGAACATAGTACCTTTGCAGCAGCTACCCATGTGGCACCCCACCTTCACTACAGGGAGGAGCCCGGTCTCCATGCCCAGAACTGCAGAAGACTTGGGCTGCTTCCCCTAACATCTGCCTCTGGTTCCTGGTGGCTGCTTCCTCCTTATTTCTACTACACCTTCCACATCAGCACCCAGGAAAGCTCTGAGACAAGCTGAGGGCTCTCTGGCCTTTACAGTCCATATCACTGGGATGGACGGACTCCTTGGAGTCTGGTGTCCTCTGCCTGTCCCACCAGCTGTCTGATCTAGAGGTCCACGATTTCTCCCACTACTACCACCTAAACTGTTTGTGGCATGTCTGAGCCACCGTACATAGGTGAAGCTCCCTGAATGGCTCACTCTGTGCTACACCTCCGTTGAATTGTTTATTACTTCCCCAGAAACCACCTCCAGATTCTCAGGGGCTTCCTCACTCGCCTTTTATTTCTCAGCTGTGGGACCTTGGGGAAGTCTCTCTATGTCTGTTTCCTCCTGTGACAATGTAGAAAATTTGGGCACCTGCCTCATAAATTGCTGTTAGGACTAACTGCAGAGCCCTAATAACAGACACAGGTGAAGGAGACATGTTTTCTGAGTATGAGCAGTTAATGTGATTGTTATTGTGGGGTATGCCGAGTGACTGTTCACCCATACAGTCCCTAATAACAGACACAGGTGAAGTAGACATGTTTTCTGAGTATGAGCTGTTAATGTGATTGTTATTGTGGGGTATGCCGAGTGACTGTTCACCCATACAGTCCCTGCTCCACAGTTACTGGCTTTCCCTTTCTAAGTCTTCCCCAGGGATGTGTCCTTGGGTTACACATAGCTCTCGTCTTCATTATGGACATCGGGTCTCCTTTGGGTCCCCACCTCCTCCACCAGCCTGCCTAAGGACCTCTGTCCTCTCTGGCATGGTGACAGTGCTACTGCTGTTCCTGAGACTCATGTGACTCCGTGTGTGTGTGTGTGTGTGTGTGTGTGTGTGTGTGTGTGTGTGTGTGCATGTGTGTACATGTGTGTGACCATGTGAGTGTATATGCTCATGTATGTTCGGGTGCACATGCCTGTGTACACACAGAGGTCAAAGGAGGATGTCAGACTCCTCGGAACTGGAGTTACAGGCATTTGTGGGATTCCCAGTTTGTCACGTCGGTCCTGGATCCAAACTCTGGTCCACATCGCTCAGCAAGGCAAGTAGAAGTCACTACTGAGCCATCTCTCCAGCCCCTCCAGTTTTTTTTTTTATTTAGGTTTTTGTTTTTGTCAGATCCACTGATGAGCTGATGTCTTACTCCCCTAGAATCTTCCTCCTCTTTTCACTCTTCCTCTGCTTCAATGTTGACAAGACATTTGACTAAAAAAGTAAAAGTAAAATAAACCTGCCAGCCAATCAAAGCACATCTGCAGGTCAGCAGGGCCCCGAGTTTGCACCTATAGTGAGGAGCACAGCCTCCGGGCCACACTCCACAAACGTGGCTGCTTCCCCTCCTTGGCTTCCCTTTCCTCCTTTTGAAGCAGCCGCTTCCACCCGTCTTCCCTGGGCAGCAGCAACGCCCTCCACCAGTTAGTCAGCATGCACTGCTAAACCCCAGGCTTTGTGGGCGAGCAGTGCTGTCCATCTCAACAACAGCACAGGGGGCAGGGACTCAGAGCTCCAGCCCTGGCCAGGTGGTTTTTTAGATTTACTTTATTTTATATGTATGTTTCACTTACATATATGTCTGTGCACGTCATGTGTGCCTAGTGCCTGTGGAGGTCAGAAAGTGGCATCAAATCCCCTGGAGTTGGAGCTCTGGGTAATTATGAGCCGGGGTGGGTGCTTAACTGCTGCACCATCTCTCCAGGTCCGGAGGAGGCTCTTCTGTGAGGCTTTTCTGAGTCATGAACTTAAGTGAGGCTTCCGGCTCTGGCCAGCCCCCCTGTTGTGTAACAAAGATGCAACACACAGACAGACACCACACACACACACACACACATACCCCTAAGCACACAGAAAGGAAGCCCACAACAGACCAAAGGACAGATACTATCCAAGTCCAAGTCCAACTTGGTAAACCAATGAATTTCATTGGGATTACTTACTGGAGTGTGGGTGAGGAATTACTTACAGGAACAGAAACGACTCAAAGATCACTTCATCACTAAAACCCGCTCCAGTGTGGTGACAGCTCCTAAAAGCTGGGAGCCTGGAGCGCACTGCACAGCCTGCAGGCAGCTCAATGGGTTGGAGAGTGCCCTTTCCAGGCAGCTTCACTGGTCTCTGCTTTTTCCATGCGACTTCCCCCAGCTTGACTTCTCTGAGAGACAAGCAGGTGTCTTCACTGCTTACATACTCTTGGGGGTCAGGGAGGGCATGGAGTGCCTGGTCAGTCTCAGGGACTTCCTGAAGCTTTTTGAGTTGCTTCTGTCCTGATGAGCTTCTCTGATGTGAAGTGTTTCAGTCATGGAGGGCACTTCTATAAACCCCTGTGGATTCCATCTCTCCAGGGCAGCAGCCTCCCTTAGGCCTCAGCTGGGTTCTCTGCTCCCTGCTGCCTTCCATGAACTCAGCTGTGCTGGCCTCATCTGCGCTTACTTGGTCATATTCACTTGTTCATTGGCCACATGAATCAGCATCACACCTAGGGCGGCAAACAGCACCGCAGGAGGAGGGGGCTGAGCACAAGAACCAGTGAATCTGTGCTGACTCAGTTTGGGGGGCCAGCCTGACTTCCTGGGTGCCCAATATTCTTACCCACTATGCAGCTACCCCAACCCACCACCAAAAGCCAGGCAGACACGGAAGCCTCACTTCCCGAGGTTGGTGCTGTGTATCATGCTCTTGTACTCTATTGAGGCATCAGCAATGAAGGATAAGCAAAGCCCAAGATGGGATGGGAGGGAGTCTTGGGACAACAGAGAAGAGACCTTGGGGACAGCAGGTTACTTGAAGAATGCCCTTGGCAGGGTGGACTCCTTGGAGTGACTTAAGGGAACTTGTGGGTGTGACTTAGGATAATATGGATTCCTAGCAGGTGGAGCTGAGTCTTGAGTCTGAGTTTTGATGGGTGTGGCCGGAGGCAGTTCAGGTTTCTGGTTGGCTGATGGTCTTTTGTCCATATTGGTTTATGTTTCAAGTTGAACTTGGGGTCTGGCTCCCCTAGGTTGGGTAACTAAGTCTTTGTAGGGGGACGCTTCTGAGGGATCAGCACTGTGAGTTAAAAGTCCCAGCGTTTTCCCTCCCCCTGCACCCTGAGCAGTGCCTGGACACCTACCTACCCAGACATGCACTTCAAAGAGGACACTCAGTGGCAGAAGCAGCCTGGCCTGAATCTCCAGGGAGATTTAGGATTGGAACCTAGAAGTGGAGCCTGGTGCTGCCCAGTGCCCACCAGGATGGCAAAGGACAACATGGCTGTGCCTGTGATCATGCCCAGACCGCAGCCTGCCGCCCAGGAAACCGCCAGACATTCACACCAGGACAGCGTTTGGAGTGATTTTATTGGAAAAGAGGAGGCGGCGTGTGGGAAGGGAGGCAGAAGCCGTGACTAGATGGAAATGCTGTTCTCAATCAGCACCGGGTCCAGGTAGTAGTACGGGAGGGTGAGGCACTTATTGCGCTGGCGGATGTTGTGAGAGATCTGGGCAAGGTTCTGACGGAAAGCCTCGATGCTCCTCCGAGGAGCCTCCTCCACAAAATGGATGTCTGGGAAGTGGCCAAGCGGCCGCTGCAGGACAAAGAGCCAGGTGCTGGGACAAAGCAGAACCGTCCTACCCAGTCCCTTCTGCAGCCTCCCACTTCCTGCCCCCCTGTCCCTGACACCTCCCCCTCAACCATCCTTGCCAGCCCAAGCTCAAGAGCCCCCGCACCCTGTCATCAGGCTCCCGGCAGAGAGTCCAGAGCACCAGGAGCACGATGCATGTGGTCTTCACGTCCGGCAAAGTGTCCATGTAGGTCTGCAGAGTAGTCAACCCCTTGGCCTGCATCGGTGGGTTCCGCATGGATGATGGGAAGTTGGGCATCCAAGAGGTGAACTCTAGCTGGAGTGGAGGAGAAGAGGTGTTCTGGGTGAGAAAACACCCAGTTCCCACCAACCAGGCTGGGCACCCCTGGTTGACTTGGACCCCTGCCCCAGAAGACCCTGGTTTGGATCGGTGGAGCCAGTATCACTGATGTGCCTGCGAGTGGGTGGGGCAGAGAAACTGGGCCAGGGTTACAACTGACACTGAGGTTGAGGTTGAAGAGGGACTCGGTTGAAACAAGCTGGGGCTGGGCCAGGGATAGACTGAGATCGGCTTGAGGTTGGAACCCACTGTTTAGGAGGACTGGGGCTGAGGCTGGCGAGCACAGGTACCTGGCCTGTGTTGACAGCTGCATGCCTGGCAGAGCAGGTGTACATGACCATCGTGACATATTCGATCAGCTCAGGTACAGTTCTCAAGCAGGTGGGAAAGCCTGAGAAACAGACCATGCCATGTTAGTCCCTGACTCGGCCTGACGTCCAGCAGAGGGCACCTCTACTCCCAGTTCACCCTGTCTTGTCAGTAATCCAAGTGGCTGCCCAGGCTTCCCTCACTCAGCCTGCTCTGCTCTCCTGTGGCCAAAAACCTTCTTCCCCAGTCCAGTCCAGGACTGAGTTGTGCATCACCAGCCCATAACTAGCTCTGGAATTCTCTGAAACTTCCCAGCCCTTATCCTAGTTAAGTCCCCATCACCTCCCTCCTGGATACCAAACATCACCCTAAACTGTCCGGCCCACCTACGTGGGCTGATAGTCTAACTTGTAAATCTGATCTTTTTGCAGAACCCTCAGTGGCCCCTCTGATACTCGAGATAGCTCCAAATTCCTCACCCGGGGCATGTGGCTTGGTGTCTGCCACCAGCAGTCTGCTGACCTCTACCTTCAGCTCCAGGAGGACACATTCCCTACGCCGCTTCTGGCTTTGGGCTTTTCTCCATGCAACTCACACTCAGCAGCCCAGTCCCCAGGTGCCCCTCCATCAGTCCCCAGGTGCCCCTCCATCAGTCCCCAGGTGCCCCTCCATCAGTCCCCAGGTGCCCCTCCATCAGTCCCCAGGTGCCCCTCCATCAGTCCCCAGGTGCCCCAGGTGGTCTCATCACACAGAGCCTTACTAAATGTCACCCAAGACTCCCAGTCTCAGCCAGACCCTGACTTGCAGCTTCTCCCCTCACAACACATGCCCGCTACTCCAAGCTGGGTGAGCTGCTCCTTGGGCAACTCCAGGTCCTTCATTTCTGCCTCAGGCTCCCCTACATTTCTCTGGTTCTGCCATATCAGAGATGCCTGTTCCCCAGTGCAACCCCTCCAGGCCAGTCCATGAACATCTTGAAGGCGACACTGGTACCTATCTTGTTCCCCTTTGCACCCTTGGTAGCCAACAGCCGTGCATCATAGCTGCTCCCTGAGTGTGTACCTAAGTGTTATGACCTCACGATGCTTTCCACCCATCTCCTGGAGCCTGCCCCCCAACACACACCCCAGCCTCTCAACTACCATACACTGTCCTTTCTCACTGAACGGCACCACCCATTTCCAGATCCACCAAGGCTTGTTTCTAGGAAGAAGGACCGGGACCCTTCCGGGTCTCAGCAGGGACAAAGTGTAGCCTCTGAGCTCAGACAAGGCACCAGTACTTTGTCCCCAACCCGCACCCCAGCTGCTCTCCTGAGCCCAGGGCAAGGCCCTGTGAAGATCCTAGAACAGGCAGTGCTCAGGCCTTCTTCAGTCTACAGGGAGGTAGGCACAAACCATGACGGTCCTAAGGGACATGCCTAGAGATGGCCCTGAACCCCAGGCCCCTCTGGGCTCCCACGCCCGTACCTGAGCTCTCTCGCTCCAAGAGGCACTCCTTGAATATCTCCTGCACCCAGCACTGCAATTCCGGGTCGCCCTCCACGGCTGCATCATTCGGGTAGTAGTAAGTGATGATCTCTGTCACATACCTGCACACAAGATGCAGCCTCAGTTTAGAGTTTCTCCCACATCCCCAGGTCACGATGGCTTTGGCTGGCTTCAGAGCCGCCCCAGGCCTGTAGTAGGCAAGGCCTGCTGGGGTTATGGACAAGACCAGGAACTACTTAGACTTTTTGTAAGGTGTCAACAAGTTACTCTTTCTTTCCCAGAGAGCCAAGGGAAGCCCTCAAGCAGCTCAGAGCCCAGGAGGGGTCTGTCCAGCAGAGCTAGGCTGGAGGCCAGAGCAAGGATGATCAGGTCCATCAGACACCGGCAGTAGATGTATGAACAACCCCAAGCCCCAGGCAGCATTCAAGCCCCCATCCTTCCAAGTTCTCACCCCCTCCAACATCCTAGGTGTCTGTCCACCTGAGTACCCCCTGCTGCTGTCCCCACCTCACCTCTCCATTGCATACCACACCGCCAAGCTGTCATCACGGAAATAATACCCAGGCAGGTCCTGGACCCCACGCTCCACAAAGTCATTGGGGATGCAGAGGCTTTTGTAGGTGAGCTCCGACAGAGCCCGGACCATCACCTGTGCGAAACCCTCTAGGCCCAGGGACATGGCCTTGAGGAGAAAGAATGGCGTGAGTATCCCTCTGAGCCTGCTCCAAAATGCTATCTTACTTCAGTCCCTCCAGGACTCACCCTGGGCCTAGCCTGCCCAAGATCCAGGGACCTTTACATTCCAAGCTGTCTCCGTACACCACATAGCATCCTCACAGACACTACCCACTGCCCGCCTCCTAGAGTCTTAAACAAGTGGAAGCTCTACGTTAAGGCAACTGCAAAGGCCAGAGGAAAGCAAGTGTCTTGTTGGAGTCAGGGGCAAGAGTCTTACCCTGGCAGAGAGGCCTCCCTTGTTGAGAAGGAGCGCCCGCCCAATGCTATTGATCTGGACGTTGTATCGGGTGTGAGGAATGAGGAGCTGGGCAGGAAGACAAGGAGGACAATGAGGGAGCTGAGGTGGCTCCCGGGGACCTCAGCACCCTACTCCTGCAACATCAGACCCCCCCACACACACACTTTGGGAAGTCCCCACTACAAGCCCACTCTGGGGATCCCCCAGATGCCTCCCTACCCACAAAGCAGACCCAGAAGCTTTCAAAGCCCCTTTATCCCAAAGCCTGTACCTTGTACAGGGGATGGCACATGGGCAGGTTCCTCAGCAGGGCCAGGCAGAAGGCTTCCCCAATGAGGTGGCTCTCCAGCAAGTGTGCGATGGCCTCATGGCTGTAGAACTCAGCATAGCGTACCCATGTCTTAGCCAATAGCCAGTCCCATTCGGAATCATTGGGCAGGAAGATGGGACAGTCAGGCCCAGGGGTCTGGCTGAGCTAGGGTGGAGAAAGAGCAGGGTTAGTTAGGGCAGAAACCTCCACTGGAGAAGGCAAAACGGTTCTGCACTCCGGTCCTTCTGTCTTTTGAGCACCCAGGGTCTTTCTTTCCCCACATTTGCTCTTGCTGTGCCTGGTGCATCTTCCTGGTCCCGTCTCCGACCAGCAACTCCCACTTTCTCTAAGAAGGCAGACGGATCTCTGAGTTCAAGGCCATCATGGTCTACAGAGCAAGTTCCAGAACATCAGAAACCCTGTCTCAAAAAACCAAAAGAAAAAGGAGAAGCAGCAGCAGCAGCAACTCTGGTCATCGATTCCTGATGCTACGCACCCTGAATTCCAGGCAGATGGATCTTAGTAAGATCCAAGCCAGCCTAGTCTACACAGTGAGTTCTAGGCAGCCAGGACAGCAAACTCCTGGCTGAAGGAGGAGGGATGGGTGTGGGGGGAGGAGGGAGAGGAGAAAAGGAGAGGGGAGGGGAGAGGAGGCGGCGGCAGCAGGGGTGGAGTGGGGCCTGGCTCAGAAACTCCCTCCCCTGACAACCCTTCTGCCACAGCCTTCATAGCCACCGTGTCAGGCACGGTGCGAGATCAAGGTGCCCAGTTCTTGGGCTTGGGAGGGAGGGAGAGCTATCGCTGAAATCTAGCCCACGTTGCTCCAGTTATAAACCAGATCCTCAGGGCTTGGCTGATACCTCAGAGAAGAACCTTTTTCTGATTTCTAAGTGACCCTTGTGAGGATCTGTGAGGAAGGAACTCCTCAGTTTCTTCTCCCTCAGTATTTCAGCAGGGGATGAATGAGTGACATCAACAAGACAAGCTCCAACCGCCTGGCCCATAGACATCTGTCACCTATGTGCACATGATCACAGCATGTGCGTTTTACACCCAGAACTCACAAATGAGAGCACCACAGGGCCCCAGATTCATGTTATAGGCACACCATATAATGGCAACACCCACGTGTGCACAGGTAAGGAGATGGCTTCTCATCCTTGGCTCCACATGGCTACATGTGGGTCAGATTTGCACATACACGGGATATTTTCAGATGCACACACAGGGCTGTACGTAGGACTTTACACATGCATACACACTGATACACTTCCCCATGTGTGCACAGGCTTACACAACTGTCAACATACAGAGGGACGTTCATGCATGTGAGAGCAGCACTGGCCACACGCTCCCAGTAGCCCCACCCTCGCCTTCCCTTAGTACCTGGATGGCAATGGGCATCATGTTGCCATCAGGACCGAAGTGCAGCAAGCAGATGGGGGCACAGTGGTGCTGCTTATGACCGTTGAGCTCCACAGTCGGGATGCCCTCCAGGATGCGGTAGTCTGCCAGGTAAATGTTCCCCTTCTGGAGAGGAGTCACAATGGGCAAGCAGTTAGTTACTAAGATAGGGTACCTATATCCCAGGCCTTAGGTGCAGAGTGTGCTGACCCCAAGGCTCAGTGGTTGTATGGGGATAGAGAAGTGGGGTGTTAGTATTCAGACATTTGTACTGGCCTGCCTTTGACACCTCCTCAGCTGTAGCCACTAAGAGACCACTGTGCACATTCCCTACTTTCCCTCTTAAAAGGGCCCTGCCCACCTTCCATCTCTCTTTCTCTCTCAGCTTCTCTGTGTGTCTGTCCCTCTCCCCTCTTCCCTCCCCCCTTCTCCCACTCACTTTCCCCCAGCTAAAAAAAAAGTGACCCTCCACCTGAACTCGTCACATGGCATTTTTCTCTCGAATGTTGCTTTTTAAAATTACAATGGGGGGTGCTGGCATGGGTGAGACTCAAATGGACCTTGTCAATGGAGAGGCACAGAGATTCCATGAAGAAGCCAGGGACAAAGCCCAGGGTAACCCAGAGAAGGCCTCACCTCTAGCTCTGCTTGTAGGCATGTCCCCTCACCCAGGAATGGGGCCACCATTTCATCTGTAACCGGGAATTTGTCTGGGATCTGTGTACATCTTCTGATCAGGCCTGGGTTGAGGCCGTTGAGGTACTGGTATCCAAAGAAGCTGTCTTCCATCCAGTGCTCAGCCACATACTCTGGGGGATAGCACAGGGACATCACAGTGAAATCCAGTGCCCTCTCAGGGACAGAGAGACATAAGAAAGAAAATAGTGGAAACCACCGGACGGTGGTGGCGCACACCTTTAATCCCAGCACTCGGGAGGCAGAGGCAGGCGGATCTCTGTGAGTTCGAGGCTGGGCTGGACCGATAGCCTCCAAAACAATACAGAGAAACCCTGTCTCGTAAACACCAAAAAAAAAAAAAAATAGTGGACACCAAGATGACCCTGGCTTTGTGCTGAATGGCCAGAGGAACACAAGGTGAAGACTTTAAAGAAGCCCCCAAAAGGGCATGCCCACCTGATTCCCAAACGACCCTCCAGTTGCTCCCACTGAACCCACTACCCCCATGAGATGAGGCTGCCTCTTGCCCCTGACCACCTGGCTGCCTCATGTTCTATCAGGATGTTCCATCCCATACCAGAGACAACAGTCTTGGTAGCTGGGAAGATATTTCTAATATCCTTTAGCCTCTTCCAGGAACGTTTCCGATCCACCAGGCCACGCAGTTTGAAGGCCAGTGCCCTGGAGGGTGGAATGCAAGGAACAGCATGTCAGAGTGGTGCCGGGTACACAAGCCCAATGAGAGGGCCACCTACTCCCTGGAACCCCTGCGTCCCAGGGCCTCTAGATCCCATGTCTTGGGGCCTTTTCTCTCTGGGTCTGTGAGTGTCCAGTGTCAGGTTCTCTGCTCTGTTTTCCCCGACTCCCCGAGCCTTTCTGACCTGGGCCGTTCTGAGGGTGGGGAAGCGGGGAGGGTGGTCTCTGGAGGTGCCCTGGTGGGGGGCGGGGAGGGCGGCCTCTGGAGGTGCCCTGGTGGGGGGCAGGGAGGGCGGTCTCTGGAGGTGCCCTCACTTTTGCTCACTCACATGGGCCCTAGGCGGTAGAAGAAGGAGGCTGTCTTGACGAAGGAGAAACGAAGATTTGAGTTTAAGAACCTGGTGGCCTTAATGTTGATAAGAATTGGGAATCCTGGAATGTAACCATTCCACCTGTGGAAAAAGAGCAGGGCTGGAGCCTGGAACTGGCTGTCCAGGGGAAGGGAGGGGCAGGAAGGGTCTTATGGAAGGCGGGCTAAGCCAGCCTCTGGTCCTTACTCCGGCCGGTTGGGGTTGCGGCACCGTCGGGCAGGAGGGTGATAACTGGGAATGTCCACGTAGTTGGGAAGGCCAGGAACGAAGACCCTCCAGCTGCAAAGAGAAGACAAGTTCCTGAGCCCTGTCACCCAGGCATTACTCCAGACCCACCACCAAGCCCTGGACCTCCCATGGCACCCCCAACCCCTCACTCACTGGTAGAAGTCCTTCTTGGCTCTGATCTCTTCTTGTCTGTGTTCCAAAAGGATGGGGAGTGTGTCATCTGCTGTTGTCTTTCCTGTAGTGAGGGTAGGGAGGAGGCTCAAGACTGTCCCTCTCCCCTCACCACCCCAGGTCAGCTCTCAGGAGGTGGCTAAGGGCAGGGAAGGCCCCCTTTCCGAGACAGAGGCTCCATCTCCCTGCTAAAGTCTCCCCCAAACTCCTGCTCTACCCTCCAAGTTCTCTATGAAGTCCCTCTTCTAGGCCCACAGAAGTCATGGTAACCAATAGTTCTGAAGAGTTCAAGTAGCAAGGCACTTTCTAACACACTGTGTTTGTATTAATAATTTAAGATACACAAGAACAGCCTAATGAAACAGATGAGTAACCCCTTTCCACAAATCCAAAATACGAAAGTCTATAGAAATCCAGATTTTTCCACAACAAGCTCATCGGTTGGGATCTAAATTTACCTGAAGCTACATATAGGATTTGTTTGTGACAGGATTTCAATATGTATTTTAGGCTGGCCTTGAACTCGAGATCCTCTTGCCTCAGCCTTCCAAGTGCTGGGCTTGCAGGCATGCACCACTCTGCCTGGTTACATATAGTCTCTATTTAAGTCACCTGGCATTTAGTTCTGACTAGAAATATTAGTACGTGTGATTAGTGATATACATTTCCCATACTATACATATGTGTGTATGTATGTGTGTGTGTGTGTTTGATAAAAATCCAAAATGTCTCCAAATCTAAAGCTTCTTGTGTGCCAATAGAATGCCACAAGTGGAAAATTCCATACCCTGACCTCATGTCACAGTAAAAAAATGCAGGTACACTAAAATGTTGTGTAAATATCTTCAGCCTAAGTATAAAAGGAGTAAGTAAAACACAAAGAAATTTGATGTTTAAACTTCAGTCTCATCCTGAGATAGCTCATGTATATGCAAATATTTTAAAAAATCCAAAACACTTTTCATCCAACCATTTCAGATAAGAAACACCAACTGTAGATACACACACACACACACACACACACACACACACATATATATATATATACACACATACATCTGGAACTGAAGAGATGGCTCAGTAGTTAAGAGCACTTGCTATTCCTGCAGAGGACCCAGGTTTGGTTTCCAGTGCCCATAGGATACTGGCCTCTCCTGGTTCTCTTGGGCACTAGGTATGCATGCAGTGCACATATGAAAAGCATTCATACACATAAAACAAAAATAAATAAATATTTTAAAAGAAAAATATGTATCTGGCCAGGTGTTGGTGGTGCATACCTTTAATCCCAGCCCTTGGGAGGCAGAGGCAGGCGGATCCTTGTGAGTTCGAGGCCAGCCTGGTCTACAGAGCGAGTTCCAGGACAGCCTCCAAAACAATACAGAGAAACCCTGTCTCAAAAAAACAAAAATGTATCTGTATACTGTATATATGTACATATACACACATATGAACACATACATGTATATAACTTCTAAAGAAAATCTAAGTTTCAAAATGCTTCTTGCCCTAACAATTTCAACTAGAAACTGTCTTGTTATGCCCATTTTACAGGGGGAAAGCAGTATTAGTGGGAAAAGCATCTAGCTGTGATTTGGTCCAAGGTAGGCTGCTTCTGGCCTGCATCCCCACCTAGTGACAACCCTGCAGGTTAAGTCTTTCTATAGCTCCTTTTAGGTGTCATGTCACTGGATCCTCACACACTGTTACGGATTGGGTTCTGTTGTTCATTTTACAGACAAAGGCACCAAAATTTAAGACTACAGAAATGCGCCCAGATGTCCAAAAACTACATGACTGAGATGGAGATGAAAACCCAGGCTCAACTCTCTCCAGCCTCCTGACTGACTGCGCCAGGCTGGCAGGTGCCCATCAGCACAGCCCCATCGTTTCTCTCAGGGCCCTCACCTTGCCATCCTCCTCTTATTTCCATATGCCTCAGTCCTCCTGTTGCACTCTGGGAATGGTGTCCCCTGAAGTTATGCAACCCAGATCCCCAACTTGGCTCCATCCCCAGGGCGGAAGCCTAACTCCTTCGAGGGCCCAGCAGGTGACTCAAGTCTCCCTGCCCTGGTGTTGCATGGCAGCCACCCCACCCAACCCCATTCTTGCCCAGCCAGCTAGTGTCACCTGCCTGTCCCCTGCCCATCCCCTTCCATGCCACACAGACCTATCACCACGGGAAGGGACTCTGCGTCCCCAGTGACTCTCATGATGACATCCTCACCATCCCCTAGAACTACCTCCCCAGTCTCAGCCTCTCCTTTCCCCTTGGCTTTGGTCCCATTCCCTCCTCCAATGAGAATATTCTAGCACAGGAAAATGAATGGGTAGTCTTCTGCAGAAAGGATGGGGCTCTACACACCCCCATCCTCGGTTATGCCTCTTCCCACTTAGAGAGAAGCCTGCAGAAGCTCAAGCGGTAGAGCCACGGGGATAAGAAAAGATGTACATCTTGTGGCCATGCTACAGTCACACTCAGGAAGCTCACTCAAGTGACTAGATGAAGACTTAAGGCAGAGGTAGATGTGTGCAGCTCAGGCACCCAGGGTTTACCTTTCTCCCTTAGGAGCAACCACACATTCCAGAAAAAAAAGCAAGGCAGCTTTGCTCTGCTACCAGGTCTGTTATTCCCTCCATCCAGAAGCATACAGGAAGCCTGAATGAATAACAAGGTCTCCTGTGAGAGCAGGGAGGACCCTTGATGAGCAAAGGAGGGCTTTGAGGATAGCAACAAGTCCTATTAAGAAACTAAGGTGTCCCACTGGGGTAGCAGAGTCCTCTGGAGCAACATAATGGCCCTCTAGTAGATAGATAGATAGATAGATAGATAGATAGATAGATAGATAGATAAGAGTAACATGTATTAATATATACAATGATAGGTAAGAAACTAATAGGACTTTTAAACGGAACACAAACCCAGCTGGAGCAATGGAGCATTATATATATATGCTAAGAAATCACTAAGAATATAGTATACCAGAGCCTATCATACATAAGGTCCTGAGTTCAAATCCCTAGTACCACAAAAGGAAAGAAAATCAGGTCATTAAGATTGGTCGCAATGGTACGGGCCCTTCCTCCCAAGTCAGATAACTGAGTTTGATCATCAGGATCCACATGGTAGAGAAAGACAACCAGCTCTCATAAACTGTCCTTTGGCATCCACTGTCACACACAAAATAAACAAAAAGCAAAAACAAGCATCAAGATCATACATGAGACTTAGTGTGGTAGCACAAGCCTTTAATCCCAGCACTCAGGAGGCAGAGATAGGAGGATCTCTGTGAGATCATTGGTCTACAGAGTGAACTCCAGGGCATCCAGGACTACAGAGAGACCCTTTCTTAAACAAACAAACAATTAAGCAATCAGACCATATACAACACCTCAGTGACCTGGAGAGCTAAGAAACTAGTAAGACTTCTAAGTAGAGCACAGATCTGGCTGCAGCAATGGAGCGCCCTATTGTAGAAGCAGAACCCTTCTACAGAGGTCTTTGTAGCATACCAGAGATCTACTAGGAGTCCAGAGAGAGTGGAGCATGAAGGGGAAGAGCGATCTGGGAATGCTTTCTGCTGCATGATGCTGAGAGTGGTCCCTAGGCCCCATGCACTTGGGTTCCTCCAGGGTGCAGCCCCATGCTGGGCCCAGAGCAGTGGCAGTGACTGGGGATGAGTATGGCAGAGATCCCTGGAGTTCCTAGTGCCTGATTGGCTTGATCGGATCCTGGAATGGCCAATCGAGCGGAGCTAGGGTGAGGAAATGCACTGCATAGGATACCAGGGTTGGTGCTGGCTCACCTGTGGCCTCCCGGAGTGCCAGGGTCTCATAGCCATCCATCCACTGGTAAGCTGGGAAGTGGTAGACACGGCAGTTGGGGGCACAGATCTGCACATAGTTGCAGTACCAGGGGTCCTTGGGTAAGAAGGAATGGGGCTCCTTGTGCAGACGGATGATGATAAGCTCCCCCAGGTCCTGCTGGCACTGCACCGTGTACTCATCCACCTGCACAAAACATGGGGCCTGAGTGACGGGACCAGCTCCTCAGACCTCCCATGAGGCTTACCCAGGGCCTGCTCACGTTAGTGACATTCACCTCCTGGACCGAAGAGTGCACAGAGCAGAGATGAAGAGAGGGCATGGCTGTGAACCCTCTAACTTGACTGCCCTCCACTGGGCCCATCTACCCAAGGCTCGAAGGAGTCCAGCCTTATCCCTCCTTCCTGGTTCCTAAGATCCTGTCTTCCACCCCCTTCCCCCAGCCACTTGAGGCTGCAGGAGCCATTTAGGGTCTCGGAAGCTGATATACAAAGGAGTCAAAATCCAGGCCTTCCTAGCTTCCTTCAGTCTTGGAGTAGAAAAAGGGGTCCCCCCAGGCCCTTCTCCCACTTCTCAAAGAAGATGCAGGAATTCAAAAGAGGCCACACAGAAGGAGGAGCCTTTTCAGGTCATATAGGAGCAGGTGGCTATCAAAATCAAAAAGAGTGACTTCCAAAGCAGGTCCCCACTGGCCAGGCTGGTTGGATGCCATTTGAAGTCACAGAGAATCCATTGCAAATGGAAGCCAGTTGTGATGCAACTTAGCTAAGAAAGAGTAAGAATGATAGATGTGATTGAAAGCAGTGAGAATGAAAGGGACCTTAAGGAGTGGAAGAAAGCTGAAAGAAACAGACAGACAGACAGACAGACAGACAGAGACAGAGAGACAGAGGAGACAAGGAAACAGGGGAGAAGGATGGGTTGTTTGGAAGGGATAAAAGAAGAAGGAGAACATGGATGTGTAGGGGGAAATGGTAGGGAGCCACTTGGGAGTCCACAGCGACTCTCCACTCCCCTGGCCCTCCCTCCATCCATACATCCTGAGCTTCCATCAATCCTGGGTGACACACACTTACCGCCCCAGTGGCAAAGTCTCTCCCAAAGTGGTTCAACAGCTGCTTATGGCTTTCTCCTTGGGTCCCCACGATGGTCAATGAAATGGAATCCAGCGTCCCCGAAAAGAAGTCAGTGCCCGTGGCCACCTTGACTTTGTAGGTGGCCATGGCCGCTCTTCAGGAGTCAAGAGAGGGCTCAATCCAAGACAGTATGGCTAGGGACACACAGTTGGAAACAACGCAGGCAAGGAAAGCCAGGCAGAGAAGAGTTCGCTGGGTCAGACTCCGCGGTGGAACAGTCAGCGGGAACCACTGCCCTGAGGATGCCTCTGGAGCCGGGAGCAGCTGCTGCCCTTGGCGGGCGGGATGTGAACCGAGCAGGTGGGGCGGGGCCGGACCAGAGGCTGGTGAGCAGGCGTCTGCACTTGAGCCCTATAGGAGCTGATGGGGAGGAACCGTAGGCAGGGCGCTGGGTCTGCCTCTGATGAGGGCGGATGGAAGATGCTGCGGTAGAAGCAGCCTTCAGGGTGTGGGAGCTGTCCAGGTTGAGCCAGGGCCCCAGGGAAGTTGGGGGAGGGGGCGGGGCAGGGACTTCAGATCTTTATCAAACTAATAAGCTCCTTTGTCCTGTTCGCCCCCATCGGCTGCAGCGCCAGGCACCCCTGCTAAGCCTGGCCAAAGTCAGAAGTGACCTGCTTTGGAAGGCATGAGGAGTGCTACAGCTGTGCTGTCCAGTGTCCTCCCTGCGAGGAGCTCGGGCTTGCGTTAGAACTCAGGACATGTCAGGAAGACTGTTGAATTCAGAGACCAAAGACCACAAGGGATTAGAAAGGCCCTGGAAGGAAGGCTACAGGGTGGAAAAAAATTGCAGCTGGAAACGGGGTCTTTTTTCTTCTTTCCCAGCCAGAATTTACTTAGGAGAAATCGGTATGAATACACAATGAGAAGACAGAGTGAAAAGTTGAGGCAGGAGAATTAAACTAAAGTGCTAGGGATGCAATTCAGTGGTAGAGAACTTGAAGAGAATGTGGGAGACCCTAAATTAAATCCCTAAACCCCAAAAGGAAAACAGGCTAGAGTCATGCATGGTAGTGCACAGCTGAGCTACACAGGGAGACCATCTCATCAGAAAGAAAGAAAGAAAGAAAGAAAGAAAGAAAGAGAGAGAGAGAGAGAGAGAGAGAGAGAGAGAGAGAGAGAGAAAGAAAGAAAGAAAGAGCGAGAGAGAGGGAGGGAGGGAGGGAGGGAGGGAGGGAGGGAGAAAGAAAGAAAGAAAGAAAGAAAGAAAGAAAGAAAGAAAGAAAGAAAGAAAGAAAGAAAGGGAGGGAGAAAATAACAAATAGAATTATGATTTTTTAATGGTTTGTTTTAGATGTACAGGTGTCTGTGCCCCCACTTGGGTGCTTGGTGCCTGCAGAGGCCAAAAGGTGGCATTGGGTGCCCTGGAACTGGGTTGTAAGCCACCGTGGGGGTTCTTGGAATTAAACCTCTGGAAAAACAGCAGAGCTCTTAATTGATGAGCCATGCCAGCCTCCAAATTAAGATACCTTGTAGGTGAATGCCCTAGAGATTATATGAAATTAAAAACGACATATATTTAGACATGGAATGTTTTCTTACTCCATTGATCCAAAGTTCCAGAACAGACAAAACTCAGTGCTTCTTACGCAATCCAGACCAGTGAGTACTTCTGGAATGGGGAAGGCATGTAGGCAACCAGAATGTTCTCTCTGCTGATCTGGGCTGATTTCCAGGGCACTTGACATATTTTACTATATCTATGCTGTTCTTCAATTTTGTAAAGAATATACCCTTACCAAGGAAATCCAAAACAAAAACAAAACAAAAATAGAAAGAATATGCTGGCCATGATGGCTCATGCCTTTAATTCCAGTACTCTGGAGGCACAGGGAAGTGGATCTTTGTAAGTTCAAAGCCAGTCTGGTCTACATAACAAATTCCAGGCCAATCAGGACTAGGTAGTGAGATACTATCTAAAAACAAGCAAGCAAACAAAACCAGAAACAAAACAAACAAACAAACAAAACCCAAACCCCAGAATGGAAGGAAGGAAGAAGGGGTCCAGCTCAGTGGGTTATGCTAACCTGCACATTTAATGACCTGATCTGAGTTTGAGTCCTTGGACCTACATGGTCAAAGAAAAACACTGACGACTTATGAAAGTTGGCCTCAGATCCCAGACATGTACTGTGGGACACTCTCTCACATATGTACGTAAGTACACACCAAATAAATATCTTGAAGAAAAAGGATGATGCTAGAAAGAGCTGGAATGAGGATTAGGATCCTATAGGATCCAGATGGTCAGGAACCTAGCCATTTCTTACCTCCTTCTTTCTCTCACTTCCTTCCCTCCACAGAGTAGGGCACACTCCTCCGAGCACCACAGACACAAGGTGGGAGATGTACCTGGAGCTTACTGAATAATGAGAAGAGTACAAGAACCTTCGAGCTTAAGTATTCACTGTGATTTTGGATATTAAACGATCTGAAGATAATAAATCTGAGATAGGAGAATACTGGGACCATGGGACTAAGGCTAATTTCTGATAGAATCATAGCAGCTAGAGTGGGGAAGGGCTGGGGTGGGGGCCTTGAGATAAAGAACCAAAGTCTGAGCTGAGAGTAGCCGTGATGGGAGAGGATCTGTCGGCTTCCGCTCCCACCACAGTGTTTGGGGCCCAGAGAGAGTGAGGAGAGAGTCATATCCCCGTCTTCTGGGACTGCCGTCTTCCCTTCCACCTCCCAGAGCATCTCCTGCCTACCAGGAAGTACCGGCTCTGGTTTCCTCCCTGGTAGCACCCTCCTGTCACCATCAAGGGAAGGTTACACAGTGACCATGCCAAGTTAGGGGCAAGGGAACTCAGACTCTGAGACACAGAGAAGGGTACCAGTAGTTCCGGGTTAGAAGTGACTGCAATTCAGGTTTAGTTTAGAAATAGGAATGTGGTTGGGGCTAGGAACTGAAATGACTTTTTCATGACTCAAATCTGCTTATGTCACCCGTTGCTCCCGACCATGCCTCATCGAGTCTGGCAGCATCTCTTGCTTGCCTTTGGGGTGATACCGTGTGCATTTTCTTCATTCATCAGCCCCTGCTGCATGCCCAGCTCTGTATCCAGCTCGTAGAACATGGTGTAACCAAAACAAACTGTGCACTCATGGAACTAACATTCTAATGAGGGAAATAGATAGCATTACATAACAGCCAAAGAAATGAAATAACATTAAGTGATGATAAGTGTTGAAGAGGGGGAGATAAATCAAGACAGGATGAAGTATAGCGCCCGGACACTAGAGTGGTACAGTGCTTGCCTACTAGAGTTCAAACCCTGGATTTGATCCCCAGCAGAGAGAGAGAGAGAGAGAGAGAGAGAGAGAGAGAGAGAGAGAGAGAGCCTAAGTTTAACTATAAATGGTTCTCAGCACTATAGTCAGCCTCTTTGCTTTGTGTCCATTTACCCTACTTGATTACGTAGTCTGTAATTTATTTGGTTTGGGCTTCTCCCCATTTCCTGCCATGGTACCTGACTGAAATCAAGGAAACACTTGAAACATGAGTCTTTGTATTTGTTTGGTTCAAAACAGGGTTTCTCTGTGTAGCCCTGGCTATCCTGGCACTCGCTGAGACCAAACTGGCCTCAAATCAGAGATAACATCTGCCTCTGCCTCTTAAGTACTAGGACTGAAGGCGTGTGCCAACACTGTCTGGCTAACTCTTTGGGTTTTTTTGGTTTGTTTGCTTTTTTTTTTTTTTTTTTTTTTTTGGTTTTTCGAGACAGGGTTTCTCTGTGGCTTTGGAGGTTGTCCTGGAACTCGCTTGGTAGTCCAGGCTGGTCTCGAACTCACAAAGATCCACCTGTCTCTGCCTCCCCAGTGCTGGGATTAAAGGCGTGCGCCACCAACGCCCAGCTTTGTTTGCTTTTTTTTTAAGATTTATTTCATTTTTAGCTGGGTGTGGTAGTTCACACCTTTAATGCCGGGTAGAATCAGGCTGATTTCTAAGAGTTCGAAGCCAGCCTAGTCTACAAAGCAAGTTCCAGGACAGTCAAGGCTGTTACACAGAGAAACCTTGTTTTGAAAAAACAAAACATTGTTTTGTTTTTAATCATGAGGGGGTGTCTGTGGAGCCTAGAGGTGTTGGATGCACCAGGTACAGGTGGGTATGTGCCATCTGACTTGGGTGCTGGGACTCAAACTCAAATTGTCTGGGAAAACAGGCCGTGCTCTTAACCACTGAGCGACCTTTCCAGCCCTGAGACATAATGATTGGGTGGATTAGAAGAAGATGGTTAGGGTGGTGGTAGGTGAAGATTCAGAGAGGAAACCTCGGTTAAACTAAATCAGGAAGAGTGATAGAGGCAGGGAAATGGGTTACGAGAAGATGAAGATGAAAGAATGCTGAGGATGAAGGTCGTGGCCCAATCTCTGGACGGATGACTGGCAGGCTGTCTCGTCCCCCTAGGCACAATGCCATACTAGGCTGAGGACAGGAGCTGTCAGGCCGGTCAGGCCCGCCCTCCTGGGCCCTGCTCTGCCACCCTCATGACTCTGCAGATGCTGAGAACCTGAATATGCAAATTTGCATCTCAAGAACAATCCATGCAAACTTTCCTAGCCTACTCCCCTACCCTGGAGACTATGCCTCCAGGGGGCTGCTAATGAAGGTGCCGGAAGGGATAGATTGAGACTCAGGGACTTGAAAGACATCATCGCAAGCCCCTCGAGGCTGCCAGATCCTAGAGCATTGAGGGTTAGAGACCCAACTGCAACTGTCTAACCCAGTAATAAGTAAGGATGTGTGGGAATGAGGAGGTAGGGGTTCATAGGCATCTTAGAGAACTGGACAGGAGAGGGCTTGGGCAACAGACAGAATATGACTGAGTTGTAGAAGAGGATGGGGTGACCATGCATAAAGAGAACTAGTCCCCTGAAAAGCTGTCTCCCCAATAATGACTCAGTAGCAATAAGTCTCCATAATATTTATGTATATATGCATATATGCATATGCATATGCACATATATATGTATGTATGCACATACATACATACCCCCCTCTAATCCACAATCCATTTCTCCCAAAAGATGGAGTAACCACTCTGGGTTGGGTTTAATCCAGCTTCAAGCCTCGGTGGGATTTATGTCCCTGGGAGGAACAGGACAGAGACAGGTGCAGCGAGGACGTGAGTGAGGCCAGGGCTGGAACCGCGGACTTGGATGGGATTAGGCATACGGGGATATGGACTGGCACTCCCCAGCTGTGACCCAAACTTGAATACATAACTCTGGGTAGGTGCTCACTGAAGAACTGGTTCTCCTGGACCAGGGGTGGGACCAGCAAACATGAGAGGCCCTGGAATAGATGCACATTTGCAGGGGAGGCTCCTGACACCCACCTACACTATAGGAGCTAGGTGCTCACTGTTGGGGCACCCCCAGACCTT